TGGTCGATCCGAATATCAGTAAGCAGGACATAGGGATAAGAGGAAAAACATTATTTGCAATAAACGAGACATATAGCAGCTTTTATCACATACATACGGTCGATAGAGAATCAAATGAGGCAGGATTTGGGTTATACTGCCCTCAAATTGATTACAAATTCTCAGCAGGACTTCCAGATCACACACAAATATGTACTAGCGAAATTATAGGCATCCACAAAGCAACAACAATTATTCGAGGCAAATAACCAAGGCCTGGATATACGCCTTGGATATTCTAATATTAAAGGGAATGAAATTGCAGACCAGCTAGCTAAGGTCGGAAGGATCCTGAGGATGCCTTACCCAATTCAGCTCGACATAAAGAAACACATTCCCAAATTTAGAAAGGATGACATAGCAATATGGAACAGGAAGTAGAAGAGCACACTAGACAAAAAGGGCAGCAAATACAAAAAATTGGTGAAACGGTTCTCCGAAGCTCCATGGTTCTACAACTTGGAATTGGAATACATTGATATAAGGCATATCACAACAATAATCAGAATGCGAGTGGACAATTGCTTGACCCCTCAGAATCTGCACAGGCTAGGAATCAAAGAGACCCCATCAGAATTTGAATCTGGAGAAGAAGGTACACTAGAACACCTGCTTTTCGAATGCCCGAACAACCAACACAATCTATACGAAATGCTTGTAAACATAGGTGTGCAAGCCCCAATTTCGTTAGACACAATTTTATTTGACTTGATTAAATTAATGTCAGTTACCTGGTTGAAAATGGGGTTAAATTGTAGCTCCCTGGGAAAAAAAATATGGACAAATAAAATAAATAATTGAAAATCCTTAACTTTTAGCCCAATCCTTCTAATGGAGCAACATTTACCTGTGTGCAGCTCCTCGGTTGCCCGGGAGCGAGAAGATGTATGTGCTATCTGTCTCAAATAAAATAATAAGGAATAAATAATAATAACAACACATAAAACAGCAAGGTACAGGCAAGAAGACCATTGGAAAGACAAGAGAGGTCCCCAGAAGAGAATAAAAAAGTACAGGAGTGGAAGAGAATTAGTTGCTGTGGGCGGTTTCGAGCCGGACAGACCCAAGCAACAACAACCAGAAGTGGCTTGATGTCCTAGGAGCCAAGCCAAAAAAGAAAAAAAAAAAAGTTCACTTTATTAGGGCAAATTGTTTCCCTGCGTTTGATGGAGCTGCCAAGTTTGAGTTCCAACGTTTCGTATTCTAGCAAGCATCATCAACTTATGATGAGATATCAAAAAATGCATCAAGACATTACAGTTTCCTATTAAAGGAATAGATTTTTACACCTCAAGTTATCACAGCGGTATTAAGAGTATAATAGCTAGCTTGTACAAGTATAGGTACCACATAGTAATAGTTTCAGTATACCGAGGTTCAAACGTAGGTAGTTAATTTTTGATTGGTTCATAACTCAAATTGCCTTCAAGTATAGTACACCATTTAATTGCGTAGGTACTTTAGTTTGTTTCCTACCTTCTAACTAGGTATGTACATTATACTTTTATTTATTTTTTGTTATAGTGAATTTTTCTTTAAATAGTGTTTGAGAAGTGCGTAATTAATTATTACTTCCTTTATCTTTGATTTCCCTTATTCATTTAAATCAGATTTCATTTATATTGATTTATCGGGGATAATAATTTTTTTAATTAATAATCAATTTCAAAAGTCAAAACCTAATTAAACTAAAAGGTTAAATTGACTTGTGTGTCGACGTAAAAAATAGGTGTGTATAAGGAGCCTAAAACCGCGCTATATGTGTATCATGTGCCAAAAACGACCTAATTTTATCAAAAACTATCCGATAAGTCACTGCAATTTATAAACCCAATCTTTGACTTATTATTTGGAAGTAGAGGTTACAGGCCTCTGCCAGCATAGAAAAACGATGTGTTTAGTAGGTATACCATTCTGCACGATTCCTGTAGTACCGTACGAGTTCCGGTATTTAGTGTGTCAGTTTCTTTCTGCAGGTACTCTCTTCTTTTCCTCTAGCCGCAAAGAATTGGGAAGGGGGAGTACTGGCAGCATCACTGCAGCTTGTGTCTTGTAAGCGCAGTGACGTACCAAATAAAGGCGAAAGATGAGATTTAAAACATGTTTAGTATGATTAATAATTATTGATATTGGTTGATTGATAATAATTGGTCGAATAAATATATCGTTTAAAAGAAAGAAGAAAGTACAGGTATGCACGATTCAGGAAGGTTATATGTTAAACTTTTTATAACGGCAAAGAAAATGGTTTCAAATACGAAAAAAAAAAGAGCTAAAATTATTGGATTGGTCCGCAAGCTCATCAGCTTTAGGTACTTTATTATTTCCAATACCAATTGAAAATCTCACTGTCAAGGTGACTGCCTAAAATTAGAAAAACAGGTAGGCACCGCCTATATAAATATAAAAATACTTCCATACATTCTTGTGAAGTAATACGATAATCAGAATATGTAATATCATTGGTAATATCAAAAATTTGAACTGCTTACTGAAATTTGGCTATCCTTTCAATACTTAGATGTATCAATTTTCTTCCTTTAATTATAAAAAACTTGAAGGATCAATTTAAAGTAGGGCATTTCATCAAGCTGGATTTACAAATGTAGGATTCTCCATGAGAATGTGAGTACGAAAATATTTGCCCGTATCAACAATATCTAGGTACATTGATTCAATTATTATTGAAAGACTTTTTTGTCAAAACTAAATATCTTACTTCCAAAATTAGGTTTCAATCCGATGGAAGCAGCATGTTTTCCACATTTCAGGTATTATTTTGGAGCAATATACAGTGTGTCCCACTTAAGTTCGCAGCATATGGGAAACTTTCTTATTATCAATTTCACAAAAAAAAGTAATCCTTCACAGAAGTTCCTGCTTTTTGAAAAAATAATATTAAACTATTAAAACTTGAATTAGCATGTACAGGGTGGTCAGAAAATAGAAAATATACAGGGTGTTTCCTAAGTACGGTTCGAAACTTCAGGATGTGATTCCTTACAATATTTTAAGGAAATAAGTTCCCATAAACATGTGTCCGGAAATGCGTAATTTCTGAGATACAGGGTGTCAAAATTTAAAAAAAAAGTTTTTTATTTGTTGCTCAAAAACCCCTTTCTCGATTTTCAATAAACTTGGCAGATTTGTCTGTGATAACAAAAGGTATCTTTTGACTCACTTAGATTTACCGTAATTATGCCAGTGGCGACCCAGAGGGCAATTTCGTTGATAAAAGAAACTTTTTTTCTTGAAATATTGTAAGGAATCACATCCTGAAGTTACGAACCATACTTAGGAAACACACTGTATTTTTTTCTATTTTCTGACCACCCTGTACATGCTATTTCAGGTTTTAATAGTTTAATACCTATTATTTTTTTCAAGAAGCAGAAACTTTTATGAAGAATTACCTACTTTTGATAATAAAAAAGTTTCCCATATGCTGCGAACTTAAGTGGACACACTGTTCAATATACCGTCTTACTGCGAAGTTTCTCATACAACGACATTTTTACTGTTCTTCACGGATCATGACCCTTAGACCCCAAAAATGTGTTTCGTTCGACAGTTTACTAGGCACATTCCAGTAAAGTACCTATCCTTTAACTTGAAATGATGCTTTCTTGGAATCAAAACAGCGTAAAATCAAGATTTAAAAAAGGGGTTACGTAAAAAAAAAAAAATATTGTGGGTATTTTATAATTTTTAAGAGAAATATCTCGAGAAATATCATCGCTTTGCGAAAATGCGCGGCACAAACAAAGTTAATAACCTGCAATATTAGTTGCGAAACAGTACGAGGGTCAACAAGACCATTACAATGAGTTATAACTAGACTCCAACCATTTCTGTTAGAAATTTCTGTAAGTGTAGTATACCTCTCTTCACTTGTAGAATTATGGAATATTTTTGACACATAGCATCAATATCTTGGACATTCAGCTGGTCTAGGCGTTCACCAATTACCTCGATAGTCACCTCGAGTTCGTCACTCATCTGGCAATGCTAGATCTTACATGCGGAGATTTCCAGTGCCATAGAAAGAGATGTCAATTTGATAGACAAAGGCTTCAGTGGAAACAGGACAGAGAAAAAGCGTGCTTGAGCAGATTTCCCTTCTACCGGCTCGAGGACCCAAAAAAACGCTTTTTGAGAGAGGGGTATGCTGGAGGTGGAACAGGGGAAATCTATTTAACCTTAGACTTTTTCTAGACATTTCATTTTATTGCATTAAAATTGGCTTTGTATACTATGGTTAAACAGTAATAACTGTTAAAATTGTCTAGATGCAAAACGATAGAGTATTTTAATCAGGTTCACCTAAAACCTGGTCAAAAACATAGCTGCACCGATTTTTATTATTCTGAAATACACAGTGTACGTCATCCTGCAATGCTATTAGGGTTTGCTGGAGGGTGAAAAGACAATGCATGGGACTTAATATTATTATATGTTTTATGTCTTCCATGTACTTATTCATTAATTTCTAAGCTGGAAAAGCCTTTTCCTTTCAACTTGCAATCCGCCAATCTAACAGAAGTAGGTACCTAATCCAAAAATAGTTTTATGTAAACAATTTTTGACATGCACATAACCTGAATTACAGTACGCCTCTGTCAAAATACTTCTTCTGGCCGGCGATATGCCCGAGTATCGTTCCACCGAGAAGTCACGACCTTTCGTAACCCAACTTGCTTACCAAATTCACACACGCGAAGCCACGCTCACATTGTAAAACGAAATACCATAGTACCACATTTTCAAAGCCTTTCGCGTGGTTGACCTTTGTATGACCTCATTGACAACGGGTGAAACAAGCCTTGACATTGCTAGCTGTATGCGGATTCTTCATTTTTTAATTTTCATACTCTTCTTCAAAAAAAATTACTTAAATACCTTATTTTTATTTGTGAGCTATTTGAGAGGATCGCGTTAAATATTAAGTTACTGCTACTTACCAGTCGTAAAAAGTACTATTGCCTTAAGACAAGAATACTCTGCTGAATCTACATGTAGAGCTTTTAATTTTTCTACTTGTTCCTGTGAAATGATAAAAAAAGGTTTTGTTAGAAGTTAAAGGGTATTTTATTATTGTTAAACTTACTTGAAATATTCTAATATGGTCCATAAACTGGACAACCCTATCTGCACACATAGGAGACGCATGTAACCCTGCAGCAGCTATAAGGGGTGCAACATGTAGAGGCATGGAACACTGACTCGCATTTAATACGAATAGTTCAGACCAAACTAATCGCAGTAGCGCCACCTTCAAGAAAATCAAAAAATAATTAAGTTGGGTGAGTTTTATTATGATAAGCTTTATTCGTGCAAGAGCACAATAAAATACATGAAAAGGGATAGAGCCTATGATATTTTTAATACAGCATTGCAATGTAGGTACATAGGGAGCTCGTCAATTGGTAAACTACTTGGATTGAAATTGACCTATATATTTAACTAGACAGAGGAAAATAATACCAAAACTTGATTAGATAAAAAAAGACGCAGCAACGCTTATTGTGCAAGACGAGGCAAAACGTACCAAATCATGTTAGACTTACGTATAGCAATCCGTCCTTCTAATTTGCACGGGATAAAAAGGGAAGGGAGAAGACCGTGTGACGTGCATCGAATTTTACAATTAAAAACCGTTCAAAAACTCAAACAACTTTTGAAGTTTCCTAGCCATGATGCGGTCTTGAAAATCGATCACTTGTGAAGCTACGTCGTTGAACATCAACCCTAATTTCATCCTTGTCAGACTACGGGTAATGAACAGGGACAAGGTGCCCAGCATGCAAAATGAATACCTTACACATGTAGTACTAGTTAGCCAATAAAAAGGCGTTGCCTCGTGTTGCGCGCGCATACAGGTAAAATAGATGGGTCAATTTTTTGACACTGATAATGTATGCAAGAGAGTATATCGGGGTAAATCTCTACTCCATCACCCCTACGAAGAATCATGTGTGTCTATGAAGAGTCGTCTTCATGTTCGCTGTTGTATAAAGACTCGTGAAACTGTCAGCAGATACGTCCATCACTAAACACCAATCTTAATGTACTTCGATTATCGCAATACAAAATAATAAGTTCCTTCGTCACCTTGGATCGGAATTCTGTTTAGGTAAAATTGTTCGAGCTATGATGATTTCTGAATCGTTGCTCACAATGCCATATACTCTGCTTCGGAGGTAGAAGAGCTACATCTCCAAGAAATAGTTCCACTTTGAAAAAGAAAAATATCGCCGGTACATGAGCGTCTGTCATAGGGCTTTGCAAGACCAAGACCAAGACCAAGACTGGCCAGTCTTGGTCTTGGTCTCGAAAAATAAATGCAGTATTGGTCTTGGTCTTGGTCTTGAAGTTTCAAGACCAAAACAAGACTGGCCCAGTCTTGGTCTTGGTCTTGATAGTCTTGAAAAAAATGTATACCAAATTTTTAAAATATACATAACATATAACGACAGCGCAGAGATAATGGGTTTAGGACTGCAGAAATAAAAAATAAATCTCCCTTTCTGAAAAAAATATGCCGACGTTTCGAGAATGCATTTGGTTTTCTTCACAGGCTGTTTTTACTAACAAGAGCGTTTCATGTCAAAAAATACCGCATAAAGCATTCCACAACACAGAGGAACCAACAAACATCAATTATTCTTAAATTAAAATTTTAATTAACAGAAAAAATGCTAACAATTATAATATAAGTTACAAAACAACCACGATTGACCTCCATTACACTATGTTGTATTTTTAAAACCTATAATACCTTCTCGTGAATTTGAAAAAAATAATAAAGATGAATTGATTTAATTAAAAGACATTAAAAGTAGATATAGAAATTTGCATATTTTTATAAATATTGAGTGGATTTTTTTTTTTTTCAAGACCAAGACCAAGACCAAGACGAGAGTCTCGAGAGAGAGTCTTGGTCTTGGTCTTGAACGTCAAGTCTTGGTCTTGGTCTTGAGAAGATTTATTAGGTCTCGGTCTTGGTCTTGGTCTTGGTCTTGGTCTTGGTCTTGCTACCAAGACCAAGACTAGTCTTGTGGTCTCGCGAAGCCCTAGTCTGTCATCTACATGGCTGGCCCAATCTGTATCACAAAAACCACTCGAGTTCGAAAGTTCTTTACTAGAAAATAGAATGAAACGATCGTTGTCTAGCTTTACTTTATTCAACCGCCCGTCCGTTCCCTTGACCGAACGTGGTATGACGACTAGCAGCAGACGCTACCTTCAAACTCGAATATCTTTATTATTCTATAATAAATCCGAATTATCTGTTTTTCTTTTCAGGATAACTTAGATTAGATTTCACCCAAATTATCACGGTATAAAAAAAATCATCAAAAAATCGATCTACATGACACCATCCAGCTTCTTCCTGTGCCTTTTGGATAGGTATCGCAAAAATCTGTTTACTAAAGTAGCTGGTCCCATATTTTGCAAAATACTACCAAGAGCTTGTTAATATGGAGTAGGATTCATTTCTTTTTTTTAATTCCGTATTTGGACACAACTCCTCTGTGCGCTTCTGGGTTTAGATCATTTGGGATGGTGGCTGAATTACAATATATCATCCTAAATATCTTTGAGATTGAATGAGTTTTATATTTTGGTTAATTTTTTTTTTTTTTCTTAATCTTGCTACTTAATTTTTTCTCCAATTATCTCTTTCAAACTGATTGTATGAAAATATGATAATATTCTCAACGTAAATCATAAAATCCTCATACACTTGGATGAGACGTGGATTGAGACAAGCCAGTTTTCCTAATTACTGCGCTTAGCATTTTAGCTGTGTTTCTATATCTTGAAAAGGAACCTATGTGCATCATATACCGGCGCACGGTGCCCCACCTTGAAAACATTATCGGGGACGCCGTCTGATCGAGCAGATTTATTATTCCTTAGTTGATAGCTTTTTTACCTTCTTGGTGAGAATGGACGTCCCACGGATTACTAAGAGTGGGGTTTTGGAAATTGCGGGAATTTGCTCAACACGTCATCGTCCAGGTGTGACTTACTGCTCAGGAGTGCCTGAAAATGCTCCTTCCATCGGGTGCTAATAGGCTGGATGCTGGATCTTTGAGAAGCTGAGTCCGATATCCTCGAGATCTAAGGACATGTGATGCCATCAGCATTTTTGTAATACGTTCACTTCAGCATTTGGTTGAAGAACAAGGTAGGTGTTTTTTTTTTGTGAGCCGAATTTGTGTCGATTTTCCAGATATTATAGGCCTTTTACTGATCTATGACTTTCTGAATTTCTTGATTGTTCTCATCAAACCAATACTGAAGTTTTTTTGGTGATAAAGCACGTTAAAACATGACAGGGTGATAGTATTGCTGTTTAAAGCATTGACTAGTGCTATTTTGAATAATCCTGTTCAATATCGCCGGGATAGCTAGTGCACAATTTCTCATCCAATAAAAACTATGGAAGTATGTTTTGATGCCTTCATATTCAAGTCGCACAACCTGCGTTGAGATTGTTTCTTTTGTTTCCATCTTTTTGCTTTCACTTGGTGGTCAGAGTAGCAGTCATCAGCATGGAACATAGTTCTTGTTACTTTAACGTAATCCATGAGATGCCATTGCATTGATCTTGGATGTTATCACATTGTTTTCAGCGTATTCTTTTGACGAAAGAGAGTATTAGTAATAAAATCATGCTCTGCCCATTTGGTCAGTAGAAGGTTTCCATTTGAGTTACTAGTTTATATGCCCTCCTTGCCAATAATGCTTGTCCGACAGGCGGAGTCTCGGCCAACTCGGGCATTAAAGTCCCAAAATATTGAGGCGTATGCAGTGGCTATAAGTGGCTGTTTGGTTGTTTACGATCTTGAGACCCATAATCCTATTATAAAGCCCACACCTTAATTAATTTTCATTATTTCCTTCTCAGAAGAAAGTATAGCCTCCGCCATGCTATGTGAGTTGACCCTCGCTTAGCCGATCACACACCTTCCGCTTACGTACCACCAAGAGCTTCCAGATTCCACAATTATGCACGTGTCGCAACTTGACGATCGCCCCAGGGCTTTGCTGCGTTGGACTGCTAGTGTTGGATATTTTTGAAGAGGCGCCTGCTGCATGAAGTTTTTGAACGTGTCAGTGTTACAATACTAAAAAACCACGTGGTCCTTCAGAGCGCTACAATCTTGGCTCAGTGGCATGAAGACTACGACGGTTGGAAAACTGACCCAAAACTATTGAGGCTTTACGAACCGATGGAATATTAATGGATCAGGTGCCCCCAACATGGGATCAGATGCTGCTTCAACACAGAGGTTTTAACACGCCTATTTTGATAGCCGGTGACTTCCGAAAGAGAAGAGTGCCAACCTTTTTTTCACCTTTCACAACAGGCATGCTATAACCTGCTCCTAAGATAACTAGGGCCCTGTTAGAATTATTTTTTTCTATTTAGGTGCTAGAAGGGAAACATAATGATTCCTTCGATTGTCGGGTTGGTAGAAGACAAGGTAGGTTGTTTTAGTAAGACGGAAAGTAGATGAAACCAATATGGGGAAAGCGGACAGCGGACATCACTGACTGTACCGTCTACACAGACAGGTGATTTTCAGCACGACTCTGGTGTTTGTGTTTTGTATGAGTAAGCGTTATTCGTGTCTTTTTTCTTCTCAACCTCACTGATTCTCTTGGAACTTTACTTACTCATACTCGTACTTGGTTAGATATCCCAAATAAAGCTAATATAGGTATTACTGATTTGTTTCAAGCGATCAGTGTATTAATCATATTTTCAATCATAAGTTAAACCTTCAAAGGAGCGGACTGCCCGATGTCAAAATTATGCAAGCTTTAAATTAATTTATAAACTTATATATTAAAATTATTTAAAAAAAAAGTCCTACCTGATCGGTGACTTGAAGATCGGGAAAAAACGGAATATTTCTTGCCCATTCTACAGCTGAGAAAAGCAGTCTTGCAGCCAGTTCGCAAATATTTTCGATGCCCATTATATTGTTGGTTTGTATGCACTGACCATACCTAGTTGTAGGATAGGGTTCAGCCCTTAAGAGTAAAGATATGTAACTACTGAGGTACGTATGGTTGCTGAGTGAGGTCGTAACTGGATCTGAAGAATTAAGGAACTGATTCGGTAGACCTGGCAATGCAGGTTGAGAAGGCGGTACCCTACCTCTCTGAACAGCTGAAAAAAAGATTACTATTTCTGAATATATTCTATAAAAATTAGTTTTAAATTTATTATTATATTAAAATGGAAAAATTTGAAAACCAAAATTATCCTCTAAGACGTGGCAGGAAAATGTGTGTCACTAAATATGAAATATTATTACAAATTGACAATTATTCTCCATTAAAATTTTGACTGTTACTAATAATAAATCTCAAATACTTGTAAAGCAATGAAAAAGTAATTACCATATGGATGTATCAGAATCATCTATACCGCCGCAAAACAACAACAATCTCGCTTAGACTATTAAATCGCATATCAAATTTAAGTACTACTGTGGCTCCAAAGTCGAGAACAAGTCGTAGAGGAGGCCGTAAATAACAAAATGTCACATAATATCTAAAAACATAACGTGTGATTCTGATTTAAGGAATATTTTTCCCTGAGTAAGCTTAGGTTAGGCATACCTATTCTTTCAACAATAGATACAAATATCAGACCACGTAATTGAAAAAAATCTGAAGTGTTGAAAAGCATATTAGGTATGTAATTGCGGCTTAAGTTGGTGAAACATGCAACAATTCGGAAACATTCAGTCTATGGTGATAATGGAGAATCAGGATCCATTGCTTTGTAATCAGTAGTAACAGATGTTACTTCTCACTCGTGCTCTCACCAAAAGTAACCAGCAACTGCAACGCCGTGAAACTGTTGGAGCATCGTCTATAATTGCTTCAGGCTTTATGCAACTCAAGTTGTTATCACTGAAAATACGTCCATTTGCATATTGACTATTGGTCCAAATGATATCGGGTTGCGGTTGCCATAGTTGCTTTCGATGGAAACATAACCTTAGAGCGTCTCTTACATGCCATGAGACAGTGATTTTGAAAATGGAAGCACCTCTGGTTCAGAAGTCGCAAGACGTGTTGCAATCACGACTTAAACGACTGTTCAAAATTTCCGCAAGTATAAGATTTTGGGCGTGAATTTGTTGATTATTGTGTCGATGTATTGAAATTTCAACTATGATTTTCAGTTGTTAAGAGTGATAACTGTTGACAAAATATTTAACAACAAATACGTGCTAATTATTCACACAAAAAATTAGCGAACACGAAATTAAAATACCTACTTAAGTCGTCGATAACCTTAAATATTAGCATAACGCACTTTCGATCTCCCGAAACGAGCCCTCAGCACACATACTTTTACTCTGATCTCAAGTCAACTAACTTCTACTTATCAAATGATTTTCTGAGATGTGTAATTTGTTCTATAAAGAGTTATATACTGTCATAGAGTATTTTGTACCTATATCTACTAAAAAATTGTCTGCCAGGCGGCTTCCATCCCAAGTGGTTTTTCCGTGAGCTGATACAGTTGAGAATTCAGAAGAGAAAGTTTCATGAAACTTTTAAATCAGGTGGGTGATTCAAAGTGTTCAGCACTAACAATATGTCATGATTTTTTATTGTTTGAAAATAAATATGTTTAGGTTTCGAAAAATAGTTTCATTTATCTGCGAGACCGCTTATACGTCACAATACGTTCATTTACGTTTTCCATTTTTCGTTACAGATTGTACAAGAAACTGGTCTCAAAAAGTTCCAACATCGAAATTAACCGGTGATTTCTCACTCCTAATCCTGACAATTCGGTGGGGAGAAACGAAATTTTGAATTTGTCTAGATAATTAGCGGAAAAAGCTCACTTTGATGTAAAGAATTCAAAAGTCGGCTAACCATTCGCATAAAGCCGCAACAGGTACAACTTTATCAAAATCTGAAATGGATAAAATTCAGCTAAGATCAACATATACACAATGAATCCTAGTGATATATTATGCTCCAGATAAAAACATGTTTGAGAGATTTAAAAAAAGTGTTTCAAACATGAAACACTAAATTTCCTATTTAATAATTTATTAGCTGAAGTTTATTTTTTATATCAGATTCTGTCCAATAAGCAATTAGAAACAAACACCAATCCAAAGTGTGTTTTAGATTGTAGCTATTTTGTTTGGGTTTCTTTTTCTAAAAATTGTCTTCTGGGTTAATATGTATAGGTATCTAAATTCTTTGGTTTATTAATAAAATTAAACGATGTATATCTACCTTTTTATGAAGGGCAGTTTTTTTATTGGAAATCCCCTATGTGCTAAAGAAACAGCACTATGGAAAAAAATGTCGCAAAATAAATCCAAATTATACAACTTAGACGTACCTATACCAGTGATACATAGAATTGAATTATTCGACTTCAAAAACCTCGAAAATATCATGTAACACAAATAGATTCTCTACCCTCTTATATCCTTACTCCAAACCCATTGAGCGGTGGGATGTGGGGTGGGTTTGAAGTATCTTTTGTTTTTGACAATTTTCAGATAGAGGCAGGCTGAGAAGGCATGTTTTCCGTGACCTGGGAGGGAACTTTGAATAATAGAAATCCAATGAGACTTGAGAATCGCTTTTTCCACGATTACACTTTCCTCGCAGGGAAAAGAAAGAATACGAAGAACTTCTAATTAAAAGAACATTATTTTTATCTAATTAACCAAATGTACAGATAGGAGATATTATAGAGCCCGACTCGCAATTGACGGCATATTTCCCAAATCTCCAATGTAAGAAATTTTAAGGCTGCAAAAATATTAAAATAGTTCATAAGGGTTTTAACTTGCCTTTATAATAACTGCAGCGTACCCTACCTGAAATAAAAAATAAAACATATCAATAGAGCAATTTTTGGATAGAACTCCTACTTCATATATTCTATAAGGTAGCATTTTGAATGACAGAAAATATAACTTAAAGACCGACCGGAATGCCGGAATTGCATCACGAACATCAGAGTCACAGGCTTGAATTTTGCTCTCATTATCTTTACTTTATTTGAAGATTTTTCCATGTTAGTCGCCGATTGAAACTTTGGATTTTATTTTAAAAAGCATATCCTTCAAACATTAGGTGGAGGCTAGGCTTTTGAATTAGACAATACCTAAACCTTGAAAAAGTGAGGTTGGGGGACAAAATATCAGTGAAAGTTGTTGAAAGTTTAAATGGTTCCATTTGCAAAGGATCTAAAATCGATTTTTATGAATACAGATTTACTAGTCTAGGATATTTCTTATAAAACTCCCATCTAGGTAGTGATAGTCACGGAAGATCTCCATAATTTTGCAAAAATAACTAATACGTTATAAAAGTTTTATGTAAAAACAAGATTCAAGTTTGTTTCCATAGAAATCGCATTTATTTCCCTCGTGACATTTATCCCTTCCAAATATTATTTTGAGCTGCTTCACGATATAGGTACCTATATGTATTGCATATTCTACAATAGGGCTGAGTACAAGTATATCAATCGAGTAATGACGCAAATTTATTTTGCATACGGTTTAGCAAACGATAATGCAAGGGCGGTATAATAGTAGTAGGACTTTTTCCGAATAGCATGTCATCATGTCCAGAAATCAAGGTCAAAATAAGGACAATTACGGAAAAAGCTAAATAAAACTATCCGCAAATCTTTCCGAAGTCAAGAAAGCAGACAACGCAGGGAGATCCCGAAAACAAGTGAAACGAGAACAGTATTGTCATAGTTGAAAGGAACAACGGACAGAATAGGAAGCATACTGCGAATGCACATCTCAACTACATGCAAGCCAGCAAAAACACCCAGGCAATTTCTGGCGAATCCGAAGGACTAAACACTTCTGGAAAAACAACTTACCAACATTTGGTACAATTCTATACTTAACAAACATCGCATAAGACCAGCCACTAGCTCCCCAAGAATACAGAAGAAGCTAACAATATCACACGGACTTTTACGAATCAGCAAGACTCCTCATATCTCCAATCCAAGGCAACTGATACGATCCGGCAACACTACAATCTGCGCACGCGTTGGCCAGCAAACAAAAGGTCCGTTCAAACATGTTAAAAACCGTCTCATGAACGGTTTCGGGACCACTTTGTATACGAAATTCAGATTCTACGCACAAATTTCAACCTTTGCGCAGAATCGTATCGGTACATTGAACGGTTTCCTGCTGTGTGGAAACAAATCTAAAAGCATCGAGCACAGCCTGCGCCGTCCAGCAAGTAGGAGAGCCGAATATACCCTGTCAACACCGGCGAAAGATCTGCGCAGGAGCAAGCCTTTAAAAGCAAACTCGAGCTGCAGGGATGCTGAGTCAAATTCCAGACGCCCATCGAGGCGGAAAAAAACTGGAAATCCCAAATGGGATTCTGGCGAAACGTCGTCAAGAACCGGGGTTTGTATACAGGGTAATTTACAATCAATTTACTACTTTCTGCAAACAGGAAAGCTTCTAATGCATGGGCTACGTGAATCATGGTGTATAGATATCAAGATCACTACATGTATAGATTATAATTACCTAAAAAAATTACAATAGGCAAACACATTATCATAATCGGAGATTCTCCTAAGACCAACGGGCCCAACGGCACACTGCATTCTGTAACCTCACATCTTCCAGCATTCTATAATCAGAGTAGGGAATAACTTTGTTGACATGTAACTCGAAGCACTAGGGTTCTTCTGTATACATAAATCGAAAACATACAACAAACATAATATATCTCCAGTGAAGTGTAGTAATGGTTTGAGCAACTTAGTATGGGTATAGTGGAGGGGCACTTGGTATCTTTTATATACTTGAGGGCAGCTAAAAGGAAAGGAGAGATAAGATCTCTATCCTTCAAATTCGTGGTATACCTACTCTATATGCAAATCTTTATTCCCTGGGCAACTTTCGTGTTTCTAATTCGATAGAGATTTTGGTAAGCGCTGTCCGGAAACCACTGACAAAGGACCCTGCCGAAAGTTTACGGAAATTGTGTTTATGTCAGAATTGGCTGAATTTTTATATAATGTAGATCAGGCCTCTCTGATTAAAAGTTACCATTGCACCAATCCTGAAAAATTACTCCACGTAGCACACCACTGCGCCACAAGCTCACCTATTTGTGCTACAT